AGAAAGAGAGAAAGAGAGAAAGAGAGAAAGAGAGAAAGAAAAGTTACATCGACATAGGCCAGCATCCTATATAGGAACCACTACATAGGCCAGTATCCTACTTAGGCACTACCATAGCTTGGCGAATGACCGTCAAGGATTTGAACAACATCCTGGCATTTAGCGTGACTTGGACGCTGTGGCGACTCGCCATGGTGGGACGATGGAATCAATAAAGAAACGCGCAAAAGCGGTTGACATTTCACCCTACTCGGAAGTGTCTATTACTCGTATGGCTTGGGAAGCATTGTACGGCTAGAGCACATAATGAAGTTAAGGCTTCAAAAGCAAGTAAATCCGGAGCTGATTAACCAGCTAGCATATCCTGAAACAATATAGTTGCATGGGAAGAAGCCATTCGATACCTAGACCAACAATGTTTTTTATTTCCCTTGCTTGATGAGTACAGCCTCCGCTTTTCGCACGTGAGGGGGAGGGTTGATAGTGAACTAAGGGTTGAGTCCCGAAACAAGATCCAACACGGACTGTTCCCAGCAGACCCCGAGTAAGAGAAGAGTGGGGAATAGTTGGGACTTCCTGAGCACAAAAAGAGAGCCCCGGACGCTAGTTGCCCCTAGGCTTTGAACGTGTCACCGGCCGGGCTTCAAACTTCAAAATTCTTGACCATCGTCTTTGCAGGGATTTCAAATCCCTTCCAGTGAACCTCCGACCGAATTCCTCCTCGATACGTTCCCATTCAAGTTTTCTGTACACCAGTTTACGAAGGAGCGCATCTTCCGCATCCGAGTAAGGCCGGCCCCGTTGGCGGATGGGGAATGAACGAGATGCTTCTGCTCGAGCCCTTGCCCTGGTTAGAGGGCCCCTGCCCGTGGCGAGCTCGGCGTACCCCAACCTGCTGCAGGCAGGCTCCTTCCGACGATGACACTTTGACCGGGAGATTCTAGATGGGCTACACACGGTAGTCTCAGTCACAGGCTGGGGCCCTCATTAACGAGCACAGAAGTCAGCTGAGTCGAGATCCGTGCCTGGATTGTTGAGAGTCGTCCAAGACTTTCATTCAGGCCATCTTCTCAATCAAATATTCGGTCTAGAAGAAGCCAGGTCGCCATATTCTTCCTACAGCAGTCATCAGCACAAGCTGTTTGATCTTTACTGAAGCACTAGCCAAATTCAACTCTCTAAAGTATTGCGAAACACTGTCCCCTGTATAGACACATCTCAGATTTTTGACCTTTGCAACGTTCACACGTGGGCCTTTTTTCGTCGCATTTTGTTCTCTTTATTCGGCAGTGACGACAGGCATTCACAAAGGTACCAAGCATTACAAGTCAGTCAGAGGTCCCGATATGCGCCGCTAATTTGCGTAGTGTTGATTTAAGTAGAGGCTTAACATCTTGCGTCCGGTGGGCTTTGGGGCAACACATTCCAGGGGTTTACTTTCTGCGAATATCGAGAGTGTTTGGCATAGGAACCTCCCGCTCACGAGCGAGCGTGGGATAACATATTGGAAATTTGGTGTGGTGGTGGATAAGAGGATAGAGATTGTCTACTGCTGTTCGGCCCCTGGGCTGAAAATGGCACCTGCAGCTGATAACTGGAAGACTCAGAATGAGGCTGGGGCTCTTGTAAAGAGTCACTCATAAGGCTAGAGCTTGGGCTGGGTAGTGGATATTTGGGGGTGTTATGCATCACGCCAACCAGCCTCCCTTATTGGCCATATAGGCCATCTCGTGGAAGCTGTGACATCTCTCAGCCTGGCAAGGCAGGATATCCGTTTGGGAAGAGTGCAGGCTAATGGACGGTTAATATCTGTGCGGTAAGATGCCTGTGTCTGTCATCAGAAGAGGAATACGGAGGGCACCAAGGCTGCCCGTATAATGCAGAAGTACAGGGCAGGCCATTCTCTCCATCCGCAGTTGATTCGCCGTGCATCTGTGACGGGAGGGACTAGCCTAGTCAAGGTACGGTTTCTGCTTATCCTTCTTTTCTTTTATCAGGCCCACTTCAGCTGCCGTGGTTCTACAAGTTTGACACACAGTCCCAACTTATCGTATTCACATCGGAAGTTCAACTTAGCGTGAAAGCCATGCAGGTTGGATAAGAATCAACACGGAGCTGTGCGAACGCGGGTTTCTGGTTGGTACATGAAAACCCATAGACTCTCCGCACACGCAGACAAATATACTGATGCGATAATTCGGTTATGGCAATTTTGTTTTGTCGCTCTTTACTTTGAGCCCCTAATATCTTTCATGCCGATGCGGCCAAGGCTGACAGCATGGAAGGACAAAGTGACTCGCGCCTCAGTGGCACGCGACGGCGGCAGAGATAGTGTGGTGAGTGTGAACCTAAAAGAACGAAGGGAACCAATGGCCTTCCCGTAATTAGCGAACAGTGAGGCGGACGAGTCGCAAATATCGGTTGCACGATGGTCATGGGATTAGCAAACTTGACAAGTCAGAACGACTGGAAGATGGGATGGAAGGAATGCCAAGTAGAGTAGAGGCTGATAAGGGAAATAAGCCATCTATTTAAGGATTGGAATAGCGCGTAGTGGTTGCAGACGGTTCTCGGGAAACGGACGTGAATGAGGAACGGATGGTCTGCTGTCCGGTTTCCGTTTCTTCATCGGGTGGGACTAGACGTGTGTGTATGTATTACCTGACAATTGGACCGCACCAATGAAATACCAGGGAAAAATGCCAAAATATCATCGCTCCGGCTTTGCACTGGGTTAATCGGGGCGGAAGAAGGGAGGGGGGGGGGGGGGGGGGGGGGGGGGGGGGGGGGGGGGGCGAGGAATATCCCCGAGAGCAGAAGCTCTCACTACTGTTCTGCGTATTAGCTGTATCCACTAAGGGAGTATAAGTCTGGACCAATCAGCTTAACCAGCAAAATCATGGATGGGTCTGCTTGGGCTAGCTCGAGAAGATATCGTAGAAGATCTTACTGGATGCGTACTGGGTGCGAAACTCTACCGGAGGGGGCCCATTCCAGTGCCAAACGGGTCCCATCCCGTATCTCACATTCTCCTTCACTCCCTAATTCCTTTTACGCAAACAGCACATAAAAACAAAAGCGCGACCGTCTGAACCTTCGTTACATATTGCATACAGTCACACATTCATGCTTAACATTGTACCGGGCCAGACCCCTACTGCATCCCTACTGTACAGGCCTAAAGGGACCAGTGCACGCTCTCGGAAAGAAGAAAGAAAACTCACCAGCCCCTGCCTCGCCAAGAGCAGAAGCGGTTTTTGAGATTAGATGATTCAACGTATCCTCACAGCATGAGATTCTCTACGTTTGAGGTATACTGAGTGTGGGTCAACATCCTTCTTCCATTACTCGTTATGGTGTAAGTTACAGTCAGGGCGCCCGCAGAGAGTCGTATTGCCGTTAGCGACCCCAATGTGTCACACCAATAGACTGTATGCCATCAGAATATTCACGCATAAACATGCATATAGTTCACACCATCGACCTCTGCAAAGTTGGCGCACTGCTAGCACGCGTGCTGGACGGATCTTTCAGTTAACCTCCAGGGTATGATGTATGCATCTTTAAATCAGCATCCACGTTCGTGAGCTGAAGTGTTAAAAGTGAGAGTCTTTCGAGCGACATTACTCGTGAACCAGGGAGCATCGTACAGATAGTCGAGATTGACTATAGGATCACCTAAAGTGCAGTTGGACGAAGACCTTAGATGACTTGGCTGAAACTGTATCCGGGTTTCCTTCACCCCAAATGACTGCTTACATCCACCAGACATGATTAAACTGGCTATTGTATAATGGGACTGGGGTAAAAAACCGATCGAGGGATGGGGTCGACTGCATGAGGGTTACTTCTACGTGCCGCCGATTTCATGATACGCATCATAACGCCAGAGAATTAAGACTGAATACCAGCGTATTATACTGTATTGACCTGGCATGGTCTTTTCATGCTACCTTCCTCTCAAGTTTCAGACGCTTTAGGTGACCTGCATCAGGTCCATAGGCTTCACCCTTGACTGAACTACCCCTGCAGAGGATGTGGGGGAGACGCTATTGGGGTTGTTGAAGAATGTATAGATATTACTTTGGAACTGAATTTAGGGTATATGTTAACTTTATACTGTGTAGATCAAAGTTACTACTTAATTGCATATCTCAATGTTGGTGCCGCCGGAGCACCAATGAGGTAATTTCCCGGTGGCCATTTACCCGAGTTACATTTACTCGAACTTGACTATAAATTGGATTCCCCGGCTTTCCTTCATTGTACCGTTTATCTTTTTTCTTTTCTTTTCTTTCTTTTCTTTTTTTTTTTTCACTTCAGATTACTTCACACTGCACCACATAGCATCAAACATGTCCCGTTCCCTCGAAGGAAAATTCGCCATCATCACCGGTGGCTCCCGCGGTACCCCATCCCCATCCCCTTCCTCCCCGCCATCACCCCGCCATCACCCCACTAATACCTCCCAGGAATCGGCGAAGCCATTGCCCACAACCTCGCCAGCAAAGGCTGCTCTCTCCTTCTAAACTACACCTCAGACAGCTCTCGCACCCGCACCGAATCCCTCTGCAACACCCTATCCACCACGCACAAAATCACCTGCATCCCAGTGCAAGCCGACCTCTCCGACCCCGACCCCGCCCCCGCCGTCAACACCATCATCTCCGCCGCCAAAACCCACTTCACCTCGCCCACCACCAACACCCTCACCATCGACATCCTAATCAACAACGCCGGGGTCAGCAAAGACCGTTTCCTCAACGACCCCTCCTCCGGCCCCATCGACCCCGCCTACTTCAACTGGCACTACACCATCAACGTGCTCGCCCCGCTGCTCCTCACCCAAGCCTGTGCGGAGTACCTCCCGCGCAAGCCCGCGCACAGCGGCCGCATCATTAACATCTCGAGTATTTCGTCCTCGTTGGGGTTCACGGGCCAGTCGGTGTATGGGGGCACGAAGGCGGCGTTGGAGGCGATGACGAGGACGTGGGCCAGGGAGTTGGCCGATGTGGCGACGGTGAATGCGGTGAATCCCGGTCCTGTTGTGGGTGATATGTATTTTGCTACGGGCGAGGAGTTTTGGAAGCAGATGCAGGGGTTCCAGGATAATACGCCGTTGAGTAAGTTGGTGGATGGGGAGGAGGCCGTGGAGGAGTTGCTGAGTGAGGAGCAGAAGAGGTTGATTAGGGAGAAGATGGGTGGGAGGAGGCCTGCGTTTACGAGGGA